CAGTCCAGTGGAGCCTGAGCGGTGGGTGTTGCCTTCTGACACACTTCCGGTGAGGTCAGGGAGTGTGGCATATGCAAATAAGTTATGCTAATGAGCTCCTGCACCTCTTTTTCTGCGGAATGACCCCTGGATATGAATAACAGGAAAGCTTATACCCAGAATAAGACTTTGTTGGTCTTAAAGGTGCCAATGGACTCAAATTTGGTTCTGCTGCTTCAGACGAACACAGCAACCTACCTGAACCACACTGACCCCAGGTAGTTTAATCAAGCCAAAGTTACAGGCAACATCTGAACTCTGAGCCAAATATTGTACTTTTTAGAATGTCAAAGAGGTTTATGTGTAGTTGGCCTAACTTGCCTAACTTTAGGGCTCGGGGTGTGGCTTAGCAACAGAGCATCCGCTCTGCAGGCAGAAGGTTCCCGGTTCAATCAACGGCACCTCCAGTTTGAAACACCCACAGACCAAAAAACGGACCAGAGGACAGATGATGCAAAAGGTCTTAACCTGAGACCCTGGAAAGCATTTGCCAGTCAGAGTAGATGCTAATAACATTAAGGGTTGCCACACCTGGCAACTGGTGGGAGTTTGGGGGCGGTACAACATGCACTCTGATGTCACTTCCGGTAAAACTATAGAGTTTCTGGCGATTCCTAGAGCTACCTGGCGTCAGTTCTGGCTTTTCCCTGGAAGTGACATGATAGTGCCTGCAATGCCTTTTTTTTAAAAAAACGTGTCACTGCTCAGAGCGGTGATGGGCAACATACGACGCTAGCATCCCGCCATAGGGAAAAGGCTGCCAACCAGTGTTCCCTCTAAGCTGAGCTAGTGTGAGCTAGCTCACAGTTTTTTAGCCTCTGGCTCACACATTTTTGCCTTCGCTCAGGAAGGAGGGCTCCAGAGCAAACTAATCGATGCAGTAGCCAAATTGTTTGCTTACAACTTTAATGCCGGTAGCTCACAAAGTAGAATTTTTACTCACAAGACTCCACAGCTTAGAGGGAACATTGCTGCCAACCCTACCTAACCTCAACAGGCAGTTTCACCTGTTCATGTGCAGTCGACTTGAGCCAGCCACACTCATAAGAGCACAATCATAATCATGTGTTGACGTTTTCCTCTTCCTCCCTTAGCCTCCAGATGGATCCTAAAGACAGGACCAACTTGAACATTCCTGGCACGTCCCTACCTTGACCGTCAATCAACATCCGCAGCGTTCCGAGGAGTTTGAACTGAACGGGAGGCATCTCTGATCTCAGCAGCATCTGGATCCGCTTGCCGACCCCTTCCTCCAGCATCTGGATCTTGTTAGCCACTGGAGAACAGTGGGAGAAGGCGGGTGTTACAATTGGCGTGCTCAAGACTGGAATGGCAACTTGTATCTCTATATGGACGACCCCCAGAAAAACCCAACGAGGGTAAAAATCAGGGTACGGAACATTTGGGATAGCAGAATGGTTTGCAATGTCATTCTAAATTCACGGAAGACCGTTTAGCTGTGCATCTGTGCCTTGCAGCATTTGGTTCAAAAACTGGGCATGTTTAGAAGCAGGATCTGCGTTGTAGTGTTTACGTCAATTACTTTGGGCACTTAAGAACACAAGCAGGAAACTTGACTTTAATCAGTGGCTCTCAGTTGCTCTCTTGGCTATTTATTTATTTATTTGTTAAACTTATATCCCGCCCTCCCCTGTAGGGCTCAGGGCGGCTTACATGGCAAGAAATCTTGTAGTGATAAAACATCAAATAATTTAGTAACATTTAAAAACACATTATACAATTTAAAAACATTTCAGTACTATAAAGTGCTCAGAAATCACTTAGAATCACTTCATTTGATCTACTCTGTTTTTCATTAGCCTGCCTTATCCCTGCATACTGCTACTATTGGCAATATAGCGTTTTTTTAAATGAGAGCCAGCGTGGTGTATTGGCTGAAGAAGTGTGCCTGCACGCAAAAGGTTATACCCAGAATAATACCCAGAATATACCCAGATATTGTTATTACTGTTGCTTGTTGCTAATAATTTTAGAATCCCATCTTGAACTTTTATAGTTAAATAATTTTGGAGCACCGTAAAGTAAATTTAGTGAATTGTATTTATTGTATTTTATATTATTCTGTACTGTTTTAATGTTTTGACTTGGGCATTTGTGCCCCTTGTGAGCTGCCCTGAGCCTTCGGGGAGGGCGGGGTATAAATTCAAAGATAAATATAAATAAATAAATAAAATAAGACTGGGTCTTAAAGGTGCCACTGGACTCAGACTTTTTGTTATAGTGGCTACACCGTTGCACTAGGATTTGGGGAACCAGGTTCTGCCATGGAAGTTTGCTGGGTGACCGTGGGGAAATGATCTTACAAACTGCTGTAGATCCCCCCACTCATTAGAAAGAGAAGTGGGGTATAAATAAATATCTAAGTAGATACAAATGAGCAAAGCGCTTCAAAAATCTTTTCTTTGGTGACCGTTTAATTTGGTGATCCTCACGACACCCTTTTAAGGCAGGCCAGTGTTGTTATTGAGGCAGAGAGAACGGCAGCTTACCTAAAGCCCCACCTAGTGGGCTGATGTGGGAGGGTAAGGTTTGAATGAGGGAAGAGGGGGCTACCCAGGCTTTATACCTCACTAGTTCTCACTGCACATCAAGGTCTTGGGCACAGGGTTGCCAGGCAGTGCCTAGCAACTTGCGGGAGGGTTGTGGGGAGGGGCGGCATTCTGGGAGAAAAATTAAAGAGAAGAATAAGGCCTTGGCTACTTACTGGAAGTTCTGACCATAGAGATCCCGGTGATTCCTAGACAGGGTTGTCAGGTACTGCTGTCGCTCCAGCAGGGGGTTTGGGGGTGTTCCGGGGGTGGGTGGGCACCGCACACTGCAGCCCCCCGGCTCCCAAAAAGACACTTTAAAGGTTTGGGTTTTTTTGCAAGGCCAGCGTGCAGTCCGTGACCGCCCCGCTCCCTCCCTCCTGCTAGATTTAAAGGGACCTCCAGCTGATTGGTGGGCCACGTGGGCCCCACTGATCGGCTGAAGCCCTTTAAATCGCGCGGGAGGGGAGGGAGGGGGTGGCTGGTCGCTCTTGGTGGTGGGCAATGTTCCCTCTAAACTGTGGAGTCTTGTGAGCAAAAATTCTACTTTGTGAGCTACCAGCCTTAAAGTTTTGAGCGAGCCATTTGGCAACTGCATGAATCAGTTTGCTCTGGAGCCCTCCTTCCTGGGACAAGACAAAAATGTGTGAGCCGGAGGCTAAAAAACTGTGAGCTGGCTCGCACTAACTCAGCTCAGAGGGAACACTGGTAGTGGGACTTAGGTGCGGGGCTTCCCCCATCGGCCAGTGGGCCAGGGAGCAGATTGGAACCCCAAAATGTGGGGGGAACCCCACCCGGATCTGGGGTTTGGCAACCCTGTTCCTAGAGCTACCCAGGAGTGACAAGGGTCGCTCTAATAATTGCCAGGAACTCTATGGTCAGTACTTCCAATAAGTAGACAAGGCCTTAATTTTTCTTTTTCTCCGCAGGATGATAAACCCCCTCCCTTTGGCCCCCGTTTCCACTCATCGATCAGAACGACAAACTGGCTGAAGTTCTGCTTCTGTAAGCGGGCAAAGGGGAACTGTCTGAATCAACAGTGCCGCCATGATGTGTTGCCAGATCATTTGCAATGGGATGGTAACACCGTAGCTTAGTGTGGGGTGGACGCCCATTCCACCATATGCCTTTGCCACTGCCACGCACAGACAGGAGACTATAAATATCCCAGGCAGATTGTGCCGCTGTGGCCTCCCGCACTGCTTACTCCATGCTAAGAAATTAATTCATCCTCTATTTGCATGCCAGCAGCACCTTTGGGAACTAATTAGTCCTCTCCTTTCCTGTTCTGCTTTCCAAACAGCACTCAGTGCTGGGAAGAGGTCGCCTGACATCGTCAAAGAAAAAGGCTACCCTGGGGATCTTGGTGACGGACGGACGTGGGTAAACAAAGGTGAGCTAGCCGTTCTGCTCAAGGCTTCAGTAGGGTTGGAAGGGCAAATGGCCCCTTCTCCCCCCCCCCCGGTCCCGGGTCTGATGTATAAATAATAAAAATCAAGTTTATTTCAGAATTGGCAGCAGGCTCTGGATCAGTCAACATGTGTGAAACATAGGTGTGTTTTAAGAACATCAGAAGAGGCCTGCTGGATCAGACCAGTGGTCCATCTAGTCCAGCATCCTATCTCACACCGTGGCCAGCCAGTTCCTCTGGACAGCCAACAACGGGACATGGAGGCCGAGGCCCTCCCCTGAGGTTGCCTCCTGGCTCTGGGAGTCAGAGACTTAGTGCCTCTGAACGTGGAAGTTCCCCTCAGCCACCATGGCTAGTAGCCACTGACAGACTTCTCCTCCATGGATCTATCCAACCCCCCTTGAAAGCTGTTTATTCCTGTGGCCATCACTGCGTCCTCTGGCAGCGCACTTCACATTTTAATCACTCTCTGTTTTCTGAGATTAAGGAGGATGTTTGTGCTTAGAGCCCTGTAAATTGAAGCCTGATAGATCATGGCTCATTCTTCCATGATCTCGCTCCATCTCTAAAGTGCTTTCCGCAGTCTTGAGTTCCTGGATATGCATCCCTTTTGTGATCGACCCCTTTTATGACAGCCAGTGTGTTGTAGTGATTAAGACCTAGTATCTGGGAAACTCAGGTTTGAATCCCCACTCGTGCTACAGAAACTCGCTGGGTGACCTGGGGCTAGTCACACTCCTTTAGCCTAACCTACCTCACGGAGTTGTTATGAGGATAAAATGGACAAAGCAGACACAATAGCAGGGGGTGATGTCAGGGGGTGTGGCATATGCAAATAAGTTATGCGAATGAGCTATGCTAATGAGCTCCTGTACCTCTTTTTCTACGAAACGACCCCTGGAAGTGACAACATACAGAGAGCCACTGCCAGCCAGACGGCAGGCAGTCTTGACCTCGACAGGCCAAAGATCTGACTTGATAGAAAGGAACTTCATGGGTTCATCTGAATTCCTAAAGTGAAAAGTGCAGCGTCTCAAACCTGTCTGCATATCATGCTAACTGAAACCTTCTCCCCAGTCTGAAGACAGTCTCCTTAATCTCAAACATTCCGGAGCTGGCTGTCATTAATCCGTGACAGTCTGCACTTGCTCACCAGAACCAAACTGTGGCGCTGAGAGCAAGTTCTTGTGCTAAACTTTGACGCAGGTTAAATGCTTATATTAGTTCACATAGTTGAAATAATTAGTTCTTTTCAGGCCTAGAAATGTTTTGGTTTTTTTGAGTGGTTGGATGGCTTATTTTTAAATATGCAGGCAAGCAAAAGCAAGTGTTCCCTGACATTTCTGATGTTCTGTATGTGCTGTCATGTTATGTGTTTGTTCTCTCCAAAAGGTGTGAATTTAAGAACTTCCATTTCATGATCTGGCTTAATTTCTAAATGAGAGGCCGTGGGACTCAGCTGTGTTTGAAAGCTGCTCTCACCTACCTGGGGCGCCACAGAGAATTGCTGACTGTTTCTTAGTGTGGGGGGGAAAATAATAGTTAAGATATGCTTCCCTTTGTAGTTGCTATACAAGCCCTGGTGTGTGTCCGTGTGTGACTGTTAAAATCTGTGACCCTGATCATTCATAAAATCCACTGTAACCCCCATGAGGTCACTGCTGGTAATCATGCCAGTTGACATCTGTTCTGCTCACCTGTCCTTGAAGATGAACATATGTACAGTTTCACGATACACGCAAAAAGTATCCAGAAAATATAGGAGTGGAAATGGGAGGGGGAAATCAACTTAAGGATGCCAGCACCCAAGTAGTATCTGGAGACCTCCTGGAATGACAACTGTGTGCTATTTTGGCTGATGGCCACCGAGACTACACACGAGAAGCTGGAAACACGGTTTGAAATCAAGGTCAGTAACAAAGCCAAAGGTCGGATAGTCAAGTCAAGATTGCAAGTTTCCAAGGACAAGGAGCGGCTGCTGCACACTCAGAAGCAGGTCTGATTACACAGAGTTGCTGCCGCGTTGAAGCAGGTTCATGGAGTGTTTTTGAACAGGTCCTCCCTTCCCTGGGAGTTGAGTCTGCAAAGGCTTACAACTCGTCTGGTTGCCTTTGCAGGAGCTGCAGTCTGGCATGCCTTCTTCGTTCCTGCATACTCAGCCTCTGGCGTGCTCTACGTCTGAGGCACTCAGGAGAACTTGGCGGGGAGTCTGGCCTCGGGGTGTCCCCAGCTGGGGGTGCTGGACCAGGCTCAGGATCTGTCTCTCCTTCTTGCTTTAACTCTTGCGCAACTGCTGGGGACTCTTCCTCCTCAGGT